GTCAGTATTGTTCTAGAGTTAAAAATAATGATAATTGTTAATATTGTCAAAAGGCTTCAGAACTTCAGGTTTCATCAGTTAAATTAAATAATCCATGCATTGCAAAAAGCTTACTTGTCTTTATCCTCATGGTGGGGTTTGTATGTTAATTTTTCGTCCACAGAGACCAAGTTGGTAAAAGTGATCTGAAGAAGACAAAGTAGTTCATGATTGGAGAGAGAACAACTTGTCTTGTACAGTATCACATTCAACAATGAGAGTTGTCAAACAAGTCTCAGAACCGCATGTCCGACTTCATTCCAGAGAAGTTTCACCGTTTAACACACAAAGCGTAATGTCTGTGTTTAAATCTAAATAATATCATCATTAAAAGGGTGTGTGCTGTTTCATAAGTACTCACATTTGAGGACTGAAGTTCGAAAGTCTTCTCTATGGGGTCCACAACCGACTGCTCCTGAATATATGTGTATGATCTTGAGTTACCAATGATCTGAAGACAAAGAAATAGAAAAAATACATTGAAATATTATTTACTACAAACTGAAATTATTGGTTAAGACTGTTTTCTTGTAGATGTAACTTTGCAGTATTTTTACCTTTGAGATGGGGCCGTTATTAAAACATTTACCAATTATTCAATGGTGGGGTTACCCCAAAAGGTTGTTAAGTTCACAGAGCTTCAAGTCCTGTGTTACATTTATACACAACTCATCTGTTGTCTAAACGTTACATAATGAGTGTTTTTATTTAAAACACACCAATGCTAGTGGAGATTACAGTTGAATAATATGCACTATATCTCGACTCGTCATGCCCACACTGAACCACGACTTTGTTGAATTAGTTCACACACTTCTTTCATTTTTTACAATTAACATTAAATGTTAGTCTTATTTAAGTCTCATTGTGTGTCATTCATATGTATCTTCTTCATGCAGACATTAGCCTTCTTATAAGTGTAGTTTATGCTAAAAATATGTGATGAGCTATGTATTAATCTAATGTTCAAACCCACTTATAACTGCCTAACTAACTATCCACAGTATCTGCAGAGGTCAAAGGAAGACACGTCCATGGTACATCCGGTTTACAGTCTGAGGCTCAGAAGTGATTTAATTTGAGACAATCTGATTAAGGGTTACGTGTATGTATATGCTATCCATCACCTACAAAGTCTGTGTTTTAGACTGCTCGTGGATTTACAGGGATTATTCAAAGATGTTGTTACTAACAACATCCCTGTCCTCAGACACGTAAGCAAAGATACATTCTAAAGAACAGTTGTTCCAACATTATATTATCCTTTAAAGCCTTATCAGGGCTGGAGTCAGTCTGAAGACACAAGGGAAACATCTAAAAGACATGTTGTAACAAGCCTCTGTCACTGCTTCTCATTCTAGTGACCTCTGGTTTAAACCATGCTGGAAAGTTACATCACATGCAGTGGTGGGTTGCATCTCAGCAATGTTAGAAATGGCACTATGCTGTCCTGTACAACGCGAATGTGGCACAAAGCCATTAACTGGTCTCTGGGATCAAGTCAGCCACCAAGTCTGCTGTTCCTGGACAGAAATAGCCTCCTGGGTTAAGGTCACGTTTGCTGGAATGGAAAGCATTAACCTATCTCTGGTGAATAACAGACTCAGGATGGATTATGATGTTGTGTGTGTCGGTCCTTTAAGTAATTGTATCATTACTATTTAAGAAGATAGTGTGTCAGCTATGTTTTGAAACATTGTTATCAAGTGTCATATTGTTTTCATCACAACATCAATGAAAAGCACGAGGACAAAAGTGCACGTCATATGTTTTTCCATTCAGAGTCGCATGTGAACATGTTAAGTGTGACCAAAGCGGTTTTTATCTTATCTTTAATTTTATTTGATCTTTAATTGTATTAATCTTGTGTGAATACTGTATTATACTTTAACTCTCACTAAAACTCCTGAATTTCCCCACAGGGATTAATAAAGGTCCATCTTATCTTATCTTATCTTAAACTACAAGGTCGGAGCAGCAACATGTTTGACGTTGATGCTAGCAGCAGACCAGTTTTTGGTACTCACAGATTTGACTATGGAGGGAAGACCCCACTCTGTGCTGAGCAGTCTTTTACTGTGGAGGCGTCCCTGTTTGTCAATGTTTCTGTCCAAAACGTCCACACCGATCACACTGGGGTTCATGGGGTTGGGATACTTCTGCATGGCAGCCTTGGTCACCGTCTCCCAAGGATGGCTGTTAGAGGAAAGCAAAAAAGAAATATATATATATATTATTAACGCATCAATAACAATTTATACAAATGAACACATCAACTGTAGTTATGTTACATTTTCAATGCCGGACTTACTCAACTTATGGAGTCATTTAACAGTGTAGTGCTTATTCTACGAGCATCTTAACCGTCTCGACACACCTTATGTGACAACATTAGCAAACTAAATTAAAGCTCAAATTCGTGGGTATGAACAAAGCAAACAAAAATCTGTCAAGATCTTTTGAATTAAAAAGTAAAGGATGTAAAAGGACATTGAATCTCCTCTATATAAGGCTTTCTTTTCAAATAGCACTATAAAACCTCAGTGAGTGTAGCCGACTTTTGTATCTTTTCTACTTTTAATCCAGCTTTTTTTATTATACTAAGATATAGCCTAGGACTAATTTGTAGCACCAACTGTAAATACTTTGCAACTTTTTCAAAGAGGCTGCACGTTTATGTTTCCCAGTTTCAAATATCAACTGTTTTTCTATGTGTTTATATTTATTATTTTTTAGTCGAAGTGAATAACGAATAAAAAAGACAGGAAATTAATTTACAAAGGAGAAGGATATCATTCAATGAACAATGGGGTAAATAAATGATGCTCAGCAGCAACTAACAATAGACTATAAGACTGAAAATTCAAAGAAACAAGGCAACAAAACAAAAAAAACTCAGTGGAAGAGACAGGAGCACAGAAAGTGTACCAACCGTGTTTGCCATATAGGCCTCCATACTGTTGATATGGCACAATTTTTTATGAATGCAAGTATTTATCACTTTCAAGTCAAGTTCACAGAACTTAGTGGTGGATGGTTGCCACGGAGACACGTGAACGCGCCGACGTAACCCAGTGTGGCAAAACCGGCATAAAGGAGATGTGGGGGGAAAGGTCGCGCGCTGGGGGTTGACCAGCTGATCATTACGCAACATTACATCTCTCTTCTGCAACCAGACAGTATTCAAAATCTGAAGTTTACTTATAAATATAAAGGTATAGGCTATAAATGAATACATTGGTGTTCGTTCGTGCCTGATTGAATGCTTTGTTAAACGATAAAGCCACAGACAGAGTGACAGCCGTTCCACCGAGGGAAATCCGGCAATTTAAAGTCAGGCTACTAGCTTCTATTAGCACACTAACTCGTAACGCTGATGTTGTAGTTATCATATGTTTTATATCTATGATTTGCATCGTTTTCTGGTTGTTCTATTTTTCATGAACCACCACGCGAGTGTTCTTCACCGGGATAGGGGATTAAAACACGAAGCCGGTAAATGCGTGCCAGTACCTACACTGAATCACCGGAATATAAAACTATCCCATTATTTAGATAAACAGTATACTTACTTAAATACGTGCTCTGACACCCAGATCTTCATGGTTGTAGTAGTTTACAGATGCTGGTGAGGTAGTGGAGGCGCGGTTGCCGGTAAGTGACTTCACACTGGCTGAAATCAGAACCACGTTCAGAGGCTGCTGCAATCCCTCCTACTGACACTGCACTCATGAGTCACTGACTGACGCACTTCCGCTACCTATGTGCCTCACGAGTCTACTGTCACGACAGAAAGCTTAAAATAAACGCTTTAAATCTAAACTCGACAATAGGTGAATGACAAAGATTTACATCGCTCTTTACCTTCACAGCATGCATAATATGTTGCTTTCTGTCAGGTGACACACGCACCTCTGCTGTTACAATATTCATCTTAGTGAAGGTTGGAAGTTCTCTGCAACCTTGAATGAATGAGAGATCAGCTGTTGACGAAACAAGGTCAAATCGATGGGTAAATCTTTATGCAAAACGATGCAAAAGTCATCAGTATTGCTCTAAGTGTAGGCTTTATTCCATTGGGTTAGCTGGATACCACATTTGAAAGGCTAATACTTTTCTATTCTTTTCAGCTGTTAACATCTTCAGTTCTTAATTTTCTATAACATAAGTTGGGAACCATATAGAGAGAGACGATTAACATGAAAACACATGGATCTGCAGATAAAGTTATATTTATTTCAGAATATTGTATTATTTTATATTGTGAATTAATTATTAGATCATTGTAATTTCTCCTGACTTAATGTCTTCTTCAATGAAACATACAAACTCACCCTGCTTGAACTGGTCACAATAGAAAAGGTTAGACCACTAGTCTGTTGATTGGGCAATTTCTAGCCAAGCTGGCACCAGAAGGGCTGCTCATATGATCAATAATAGATATCCATTCAACTTAATACAGTAGTATTAATGCTGACTGTCAGGATGAAGTGAGTAGACAAAAGTTGTATTTCATGTTATGATGAAACTTTGTTGCATATTAACCCGATCTGTAGTTGACAGCTTTTTCCCCTTTTGAACTCATTGCTAGGTTATTACTTTAAACATATTGGCCTCAGTGAGTGAATCCTGGGTTTGTCACCATAACCTATATTCAGATGTGGGTAACATTGGTGTTCGCCTTTCTCCTCGTATAGCCTTTGTGTGAGTAGTTGTGTACTTTATGGCAGTACTGCACTCTTCTCCACGTCATGTGTGCTTATCTCAAAGTGCAGACTCTGTCCAAGTTATGTGTAATCTGCATGTGACAGACTCGCTACAGTTAAAGGAAACTGAGCTACAGCCTTGAACGTTGTCCCTGTGCTGTCAGAGAACTGACCATCACTGAAGCTAAGTTTAGAAACGTCGGGTCGAGTTTAAAAAATGATTGAACAAAATAAAAATAAAGAAACATTTTTTATTTTTTTATTATTGTATTAATGTGTACTCTCAATAACAAAAAATCACTCTTTTATGTTATTGGTTTTAATTGCCTTAATAACTTATATTAGGTAGAAAGCCACTCAATGCAACATTTACTCTAATAGGATAATGGAAAATCACAATTTATTTTAATGGCTGTGAATTATAAAAAGCTGGCATAACATACATTTGTCCACACTTTAGGTCCCATAAACACGCAAAAAACCTCCATTATAGAAGAAAGAAAGAAAGAACATACTAAACATATGTTTTAAACACAATCATACATATTTTAGAATAATTCATAAGAGATAATAAGCACTCTTGTTAAATATGTAAAATCCTGATTAAGTCTCAACTGTCTAATTCAAACAAAGCACAAGAAAACTACAAAATAAAACAGTTCCTTTTCAGACCAACAGTTCCACTTGAGTTTTCCACATTGCTCCAACAAGGGTTCAAACCTTAACACCACACAATACGTCTTCCACTCATCCCTCTGTGCCTTCGCTCGTTTCATTCACTTTTTCCAGTTGAACGTCCACCTGGGACTGACTTTTCATTGTCACTGGTGATGAGGGTCCCTCCTCTTCTTCATCCTCTGCTCCCAAATCTAGATCAGAGGTGGCCTCTTGGTACTGCTGGTACTCCGACACCAGGTCATTGAGGTTTCTCTCTGCCTCTGTGAACTCCATCTCATCCATACCTTCCCCAGTGTACCAGTGAAGAAAAGCCTTCCGTCTAAACATCAAGGTGAACTGCTCCCCAACACGCCGGAAAATCTCCTGAATGGCTGTGTTGTTCCCGATGAAGGTGGAGGCCATTTTTAGCCCCCGAGGTGGGATGTCACACACTGCTACCTTGCAGTTATGGGGGATCCAGTCCACAAAGTAGTTGCTGTTTTTCTTCTGCATTGCAAGCATCTGCTCGTCTACCTCTTTGGTGGACATCCGCCCTCGGAAGATGCCAGCAACAGTGAGGTAGCGCCCCCTCCTCGGGTCGCACGCCGTCATCATGTTGCGGGCGTCAAACATCTGCTGGGTGAGCTCAGGCACCGTGAGGGCTTGGTACTGCTGGCTGCCCCGGGCCGTCAGGGGGGCAAAGCTTGACATGAAGAAGTGAAGGCGAGGGAAAGGCACCATGTTGACAGCCAGCTTCCTGAGGTCTGCGTTGAGCTGTCCAGGGAACCTGAGAGAGGTCGTGACCCCGCTCATGGTCATGCAGACCAAGTGGTTGAGGTCCCCGTAAGTAGGCGCGGTCAGCTTCAGGGTACGGAAGCAGATGTCGTAGAGGGCCTCGTTGTCGATGCAGAAGGTCTCGTCCGTGTTCTCCAGCAGCTGGTGGATTGACAGGGTGGCGTTGTAGGGCTCCACCACCGTGTCAGAGACCTTAGGGGAGGGCACCACGCTAAAGCTGTTGACGATCCGGTCAGGGTACTCCTCTCGGATCTTGTTGATGAGGAGGGTTCCCATGCCGGAGCCGGTTCCTCCGCCCAGGGAGTGAACCAGCTGGAAGCCCTGCAGGCAGTCACAGCTCTCACTCTCGTGCCTCACCCTGTCCATCACCTGCTCCACCAGCTCCGCACCCTCTGTGTAGTGGCCCTTCGCCCAGTTATTCCCAGCTCCTGAGTTCCCTGCAACACCGAAAAAGTAGTTCCTTATTTTGAATTTTTTTTTATTTTGGGCCTGTATGTAATGTGTTAACATTTTATTTCTTCTCTGGGAAGTATTTCTTCTTTTAAAACAAAAACGTTGTGCCACTTCTTTATGGATGGTGTTTGTTACAAGAAGATTTTAAAAACACTTAATTTCAGACATGATACAATTTATATGCAGGCTTTATTCCAGTTGGGAAGCATTTGTATCCAAAATACCACATGTGTTAAGAAGTTAACTTGTGTCTTTACTTTTACAGATAATTATATAAAATAGCCTTTATAAACAACATAAAGCAAATTGTAGCAGGTATTCCCAGTAGGATGTTGTTGTTTGTCTCACCGTGGATGAAGTTGTCCGGCCTAAAAAGGGCTCCGATGCGACTTCCTCTTACACTGTCCATCGTACCGGGCTCCAGGTCAACAAGCAGGGCCCTAGGGACGTATTTACCTCCTGCAAACAATGGACATTTTAAAATGATATACCTGGAAATGTGCATTCTGAACTCAAATATGTTTAAAATATGTTAAAGTTTTTATCATGAAATAAACTGAATTAGTGCCGGTTATTAAATGAACAGTAAATAACCTCTCCATTACCATGAGCCTCGTTGAAGTAGACGTTGACCCTCTCCAGTTGGAGGCTGCTGTCCCCCTCATACATGCCCGTTGCATTCAGCCCATGTTCTTCACTGATCACTTCCCAAAACTAGAAAAGATAGTGCCAAAGAGGAAAATCATCATTATAACATCACCAGATTTAAAGTGCTTATGTATATGAAGTCAAGTTAGTTTTACAATTCTAGGTAGGGCTGTTTTTGTGGAGAATAACTTTATGGTTTCATGTTGTAGACCTCTTCAGTCAGTGCATGACTGCTGAACCTATCCTTATGAGCAGGGTCAGATTACTTAAATTAATAACATCATCTGTTGAATGAAGAAAAACTCTAATCAAATGTAATCAAAATCTTTGGTTTATTTTTGGTTTACTTCCGAACATTGAATATGTTGCACCTCATCCAAAAGAAAATGTGCTAAGTCACTAATACTTCTTCTCTTTAAAAAAAATCTCAAAACATTTTATTGTAAATAAAATGTAATTTGCTTTTCCTCATTTACAAATGGTCAAATTACATACGGAAACCTAACTTGCACAAGCTATAAACTAGTACAATTAGTAATTACTTAATAGCATTGCTTATCATGAAAAAGATATTCATAATTTTAAAATGATGAAACTTGAAAAACAAATTCCAAGTGAGCAATCATTAAAAATAGATAGAATCTACAAAAACATTTTTAAGCATTTTTATGTTCTGACCAGATCAAGAATCTCTGCTACAAATGATAAAAGTATACACTCTACATAATGACTGCTATTCTTATACCACAATGTCCTCGAATGTCACACAGAATGATGTGTTAGCCGTCATATCTTGTAGTTCCTCTTTCTTGTTTTGTGTTGTCATGTTAAAAAATGTCCCACCCATGCCAGTCTCGCTTTGCCCTTATCTTTCCCCTGAATGCCTCACAGGGTACACCCGTGTCACTCACAACTGTTGCACCATGCAAAGTAACAGAATATGTCTAAATATGCAGCGTCATTAAAAAAATATATAAAGGAAAACTATATATGTTTATTCTTTATATAATTAAAACAATCCACATAAATAATCTTAAATATGCATATATATTTCAAAACATTTTCAAATTGTCTTTATCTAGTGTGACAAAGCTCAGCTAATTTTGATCTCAAACAATAACTTTAATGATACACATTATAACTTTTGGAGAAGGATTAGCTTTTTTACCTTTGAGCCGATCTGGTTGCCACATTGTCCAATCTGCAGATGCACAATTTCACGCATTATGGTCGGCTTCAGTACACAGAGCAGCTGAGGGTCTGTGATAGGCTCCAGTTCTCTCACCCACCTTTTATACAGTACCAGAAATGATGTCACAAGTGATGTTGGGGAAACACCCCATGCAATAATATATGAGGAGCCTGAACACACTATGAAAACGGCAAGCAGAATAACAATAAACAGACGTGGATACAATAATTAATATGAGGGCAATCGCGATACTTTTATACTTTTTAGTTTATGGTTTTTAGTTTATGGTTGACCTACACTGACCGACACTATCCTGCCTTGTGTTTTGTGCATGTTTAATTTTCTCTCTACTGTATTGCATGTCAATTATACAATAAATCATGAGGGATGTTTGATTCAAGGAATTATCAACTGTTGCAACGACAAAAAAAGACAAAAGGTGCAATGATGCATGACAACACAACATTGTGGATTAAACACATCTGTGAGTTCTTATGATGACAAAAAACAGCTAATTGAAAAGAGGATCATTTGTTGGATAATTGGCCAGTGCAAGATAACACCCATTTCATTAAAAACATGAATATGAATGTACTGTAAACGCACACACATACCAAACAGGTTGCTCCCATGTGGGATTCTAAGTAATAGTTCAAAAATAATATAATAATAATAATAATATTTTCAGTATTCATGTACTTAGACTGTGTAGGGGTGATACTAGGTATCAGTTGGGAGGTTATGAGATGTGCTACCATCTAGAGGACCATCACAGGCATAACATGATACTGTTTAAGAGGTAGTTGTAGAAAAAATAGTTGTTTTACTGTAATATGTAAATCTTTGCATTTTATTTTCTTAAAGATATTTTAGGTTCAACTTGTGAAAACAATTACTGCTCCTCACATTAATATTTCAGCATCTGGCTGAAATTGTTGTCTAAATTAAGTAAAAATACAAATGAACTTAAACAAGATTATGACTAAGGAGAATTGTCATTCTTTTATCTTAAGTTGACACTAAACAGTTTTCATACTATGAAAATGTACATTCAGTGCTCAGTATCTTTGCACAGTTCATTCTTTATCACTATACGGATATTTTCAAACTTAAAAACATAACTTTTATTGCAAATGTTTTATTTAACATTCATGAATCTCCTTTCTCTTTTGCTTTTGCTTGACCTGCAGGAAAAGACAACACATTCTCTGTCTCCTGCATGGCTTGTTGCATGTTACCAGAGAAATACAGAATGGATAACAAATCTTACTTTATGATCGTAAAGCCTTAATTTGATCAGCTCCGCAATACATTACTTTCCCATTGTCTGCCTGCAGGTCACTCAGGTCAACCTCACAACAACTCCACAACAGCAGCACCTTACTTTTCACTTAAAATCAAAGATGAACAAATGTTTGTATTGCTGTTTCTTGGCGCTGCAGCCTCCCCTCCTATTATCAAGTCCTGTTCAAACCATTGACCATTTTAAATCAAATGTAAAGCGACATCTTTTATTCTTGCTTCTTCAAAGCATGCAGCCCCATTGGTTCTTTTCATAAGACCCCTCTTAGTTTTTTTTTGAATGCCCTCTTACTACTTTGTGATCTGTTTTTGGTTCACTTCTGTTTCTCTTAGCTTACTGTTATCTCAATAGTGACGCTTTTTTAGAAAGGAAGTAAAAAAAAAAAAAGGTCAAAAATCTTTGTATGTTCAACTTTTAGAATGCTTGTAATTGGTCAAATATATTTGTTTGAATATGATTCCTCTTGTCGTAGTGAGGAAGCATTTGCACAAAGGTTCAGCATACTGTTATTATACGGTATTTACCAGATAGTGTGGCCTTTGGAAAAGAAGACTTACTTCCTGGTCTGAGTATTAAAGTTTGTAAAGTAGAACACATCAGCAGATACAGGACAACATTGTGTTTAACATGTTTTAAAGTTTTGAGTCATTACTTCTTTGACTTCTTCAGTTGTGTGCTGGTCATAAATAGAGAGCTACGGTAGCCTTTAGTTGTCATTGATGACCTTTGTTTGCCCTGAGCTTCGTTCCTTTGCCTTTTGACGTTTTTGACGAGGGTGCTGTTTTTGTATGTGTTTTCTCCGCATGTGTGTCTGTGGGTGTGGGATTTGTAATGCACAGACAGTGTTTGAATGCATGTGAGAGCTAAAAGGGTAAAATAACAGGGACCACTGTAAAACTCTGAGCAAAAACTGTATAAGCTGGTAGGCCTATAGATTTTTATTTTTGGTAGGGCAATTGCTGTACTTTAATCTTCTTAAGTTGTTTAAGGTAGACTGATTTCAATATGCCCTTTGTTTTATGCATGCTATATGTATTGCAGTACATTATACAATACACTGTAATGGAACATTTGATTTAATTGCTTTAAAGGGAATTGTTCAACTATGGAAGAGGAATGTGGTAAAACTGTGCAGTTTAAAAATCACCATTATTGTAGGGAAGTTAAACCGACATAAACATCTGGATTTCATTCTATATGTTACTCAATCTGTATTGATCAATTGAAATAAAGCTGGAGACAAATGGATTCAATAAGTGATTGAAAGGCTCAGGTTGATGCAATTATATTGATCCCCACCCCAACCCCAGTCAAAAACAACATACACTAAAATTTCTTAATTAGTGATAATACAAAAATATATAGCCTTAATATCTGTAAATGTACGTATTGTCCCAGCCTATTATTGCTACTAAATGAATGTAATGTTTTTGTATATCTTAACCTTTAAATTAATAATGTTATTGATTAATACTTTTTTGGGTGTATAAGTTGATAATCATTTTTCTTCAAAGAGGGCGCCTCTCCCCTTCTGTACCTCCGCTTCATGACGCTCCGGGCAGTCATGTGATCCAACCTGCTTCACTCAGATGCGTCAAGCGTCAGCAAGGAGGAAACAGGAAGTACTTTAATCCTAACTTCAAAGTAAAGGCATGATGTCATTTAGTCAATGATTAGCAAAAGTGAAGTGTAAACATATCTGATTGTCTTCAGATCAGATCATTCATTTAATTTTGCCTTGAAGTGTAAGCAATATTGAATGGTGTATGTCGCATTCTAATTGCTTCATGAGTCAGTACATTATAGGAAAAAAAAAAAGTTAAATAATTCAATAAAAGTTTGTATTTGATGTTAAACTACAGCTCCACACAGGTGTAGAAAACTCACAAAAAAGAACAATTATATGAGTTACATTCTACTGTTTAATGAAAAATATAATCTAATTTGTAATTATGTGTTCTATTTGAGTGCAGGCCAATAGTTAATGGTGGTATTGTAATGTGATGTTTTTTTAACAAAATATATGTTTGCAATTATAATGAATCTAAAATGGGAATTAATTCATAGCATTAACAAGAATACATATTTAAAATGCAATTTTATTTTAATGTATCAATACATTACTTTGTACCAATTGGATTATTCTGTTCAATAGTTTTTTCAGGAAGCAAAGTAACTAACATTTACTCAAGCACAAATAGACTCTTCTCAGTGTTAATTAAATACTTTTTGTATTTCAATTAATTATTGACTTTTGTAGTACTTTGTCTTTAATTTTTCTTTCCTAAAGGCAAGTACCAATATTTTTGATTAATATATGCCTAAGCGTTGTGTGTTTATATATTGTTAATTCTCTAAGAAATGTGATATTCAGCGAGTAAAATATATATATTGTTGGGTGGTTGTGTGTGTGTGTGTGTCTGCCTGTGTGCTGTGTAATGTAGTTTACTATTTAATATCATAGGAAGTCCACCAAGGTCACCAGTCTCCTTTACTTGACCAACATGATATGATATATCATATCAAGCAAAGGATGAGGATAAGGATAGAAGAGAGTTTCTTCCTATTCTGTGAATAGTGTCACATTTATTACATCTTGGTTTTAAACACTGTATAGCTCTTTTCATTGTAAATTCATATTTTACATACATTATTCTTGACTCTTGTCATACATATTTTCGCTTACTATTTTTACGAAATAGTTTCCTTCATTTCATTTTGAAATAAGAGACACACAATGAATTATTTTAAGCAAAAGGAAAAATATCTCTAAAATGTAATCCCAGATGTTTCACACTGTTTTAAGATTGACTCCATCTGGGCTTTATTGTGAAAGTTCCGACCGGAAGTTTGAATTCTCGTCTTGTTAGCTTGACAATGGTTCTTCGTTCCCAGGGTTCCGTGAGAGCCGTTTGCCCCACCCCACCTCTTCAACGCTATCTATCTCAATGTTCAATCCTCAGAGAGAAAAGGGGGCAAAAATAATTCAGATTACTCTGAATTATTTTTGCCCCCTTTTCTCTCTGAGGATTGAACATTGAGATAGATAGCGTTGAAGAGGTGGGGTGGGGCAAACGGCTCTCACGGAACCCTGGNGGGACGAGGAGTGGAGAAGAGAGACGAGACGAGGAGAGACGAGGAGTGGAGAGACGAGGAGAGGAGAGACGAGACGAGGAGAGACGAGACGAGGAGAGGAGTGGAGAGACGAGGAGAGGAGAGACGAGGAGAGACGAGGAGAGGAGTGGAGAGACGAGGAGAAACGAGGAGAGACGAGGAGAGGAGGGACGAGGAGTGGAGAGACGAGGAGAGACGAGGAGAGGAGAGACGAGGAGAGACGAGACGAGGAGAGACGAGGAGAGACGAGGAGAGACGAGACGAGGAGAGACGAGGAGAGGAGGGACGAGGAGTGGAGAAGAGAGACGAGGAGAGACGAGGAGAGGAGGGACGAGGAGTGGAGAGACGAGACGAGGAGAGGAGAGACGAGACGAGGAGAGACAAGACGAGGAGAGACGAGGAGTGGAGAGACGAGACGAGGAGTGGAGAGACGAGACGAGGAGAGGAGAGACGAGGAGAAAAAAAAAAGACAAAAAAATAAAAACTTCCACGCGCTCACATTATGCTGGCCCACGTGCCTTAGCACCGCTGCTATGACTCCATCCTAGGGGAAACACTGCTACTACATTTATCTGTTCGCTGGCGTTACTTGTTTGTTTTCAGATTTTACGTTAAAAAAAACACACGATTAATTACACAATATGCAAGGGATACACTGTACAATGCAATAGCTTATTAAAGGTAATATAATTTTTTTCGGTTGAAGTTTAAACAAAAAAACAACAATAATATTCAAAGTTGGCAACCATCATATAAAAACACCAACCTCCGATTTCGGCCACTTGGCCTTTCACCTCATAATTTAGGTATTTTTGGAGCATTTTCATAGTTTCACTGTCGGATGCATGCTTTGATCTGGCACCTGAAAACGACCTTTTATAGACTTGACAAAACCCAAAAATACAGCAACATTTGAAAATCCAAGCAGAAATCATCACCACACCCCTTTAGAGGGTTAAAAGTGACGATTGAGAGGATTAATTGTTTGTATAAATCTATTATTGTATTCTATTAACATTTCTTAAATCATGAGTTTGGATTGTTACCTCTTACAAAGAAACATTGTCTGTTTCAGATGTCCTTAAGCAGGTTCACCAAAGAGTGAGTGTCGCACTGAAATTCTCAGATGGTTTCATTTAAATTATTGTTGCTCAATATTCCACCAGAAAAGCTAAATATCAAAGTAAATATGAAGGGCCCAAGCCAGTTGGGAACAACTGGACTAAACTTCCTAACTTTACATAAAGTAATTCAAACTAACTGCCGCGATCAGCTACCAATGTCATGTTACAAAAAAAATGTATAGACCATTATTATAATATCATACTCTAATAACATGGTACTCACATTTTCCTGCAGAATATGGACTTTTAATACATTTTGCTGGAAGAATGCATGTACTTTCAAATACAGACTTTGACTTGTCATAGATAAGGGTACTTATAAGGGGTCAGAGAACTTCTTCCACCAATGCATAAAGTGACATAATAAAAACACATCTACCTCAAACATGCAATGTACACAAGAGAGAGAGTGGGCGAGACTCCGCCCTCCATGAGCTCTGGCTCCATGTGACCACTGCATGCCTTATAGCAGAGGCAGGCCTGACTGAGATCAAAAGGTGGATAAGAAAAAAATACCAGAAAGGAAGAGTTTGGAAACCGGGAAGGGAGAACAGGGCCAAGGGAGATTCACAGCGCTGAAGATGTTTTGGGAAAAAATATCATATCTCAGCCTTTGTGACAAATAATTTCAATACACACAACAAAACCACATTGACAAGGGTCAGCAGGGCGAGGACGAAATCGCCAAAGACACGCAAACCACCAGGTCGGTGTCTTAGGTGTTTGGCCATACTGCTAAACAGACTGCAACCTAACTGAAAAGTCTAGAGTACACTTTTGCAACTGCTCAAGCAGAATGCAACAAAGCAAAAGGGAGAGTAAACTAATCAAGAAAAAATTCTCTCTGTGTGCTGAAAAGAAATCTGATGTTTTGATATGGCCCTGACTCTATAAATGTGAAACAAAGAAGTGGATCGGACTGAGACACACGACAGCAATGCAGTCAATTAGCAACAAGAGGCGTTCATGCTCACGTACAGAACAACGGAAAGACCAAAGATGAATGAAGACAAAGGCAGTGGGAGGAGAGGGTAAATTAGGAGGCGGGTATTTGTTTGGGTGTTGAGTTTAAATATCTTTCTCCAGAGTTGCTGACTCCACGTTAAAAAGATAAATCTGGTGATAAACTATATTTGTATTATTTTCAATAAATCCGATGAGAAGATCCTGTGTGCAAACTCCATGGCAATCCATCCAAATACTTGTGGACGTGTTGCCATCACCAGCACTACACGGTGCCATAAAATGAGCCACATGTACGCACACTGTAGTTTATCCACTAAGCTGTAACGCACTAGTAAGAACAGACACACGTTTGCACTCAAAGTGACCACATACCAAAACAACCAAATGTCCCACAATGTCAGTATAAGTGTAAAGAGACACAGAGAGAAAAATGAAGCATGTCTTTGTGTCGTCCTTCATTTATATTCATGTGTGACTGCACAGTATGTATGGAAGTAAAACAAAGGGATATAACAGGAGATATTTGAAAACATAGAGACTTACTACTGAGCGCAGTCGATGAGTTGATATTCGTTAGACCTATCCCAGCAGAACCGCACACCCTCGTCCTGCCAGAGGAACTTTGCATGGTCATAAAACTCCTGGAAAGAGAAAGAGGGGTCTGGATTAACGACATACCACATCTACAAATAACTGTGAGTCAGAACCTCGGTTTAGCATCCCTGAAATAAAGATGTGAAATCATAAAAAGATCTAAAAGAAAAGAGTGACCAGAACAAGAATCTGATAGAGCAAGTCTTTAATGTTTCTCTATACCACTAGTAGAGATGTAGAGGAGCGCTACTTGGCAGTTGGCACGTCACGTAAATTGTTTTCTAAAAAGTGCACAATGTCATTTCCAGAGGGTTTATTTGAAAAACAGAAAATTATTTAGAAAGGATCTAGATAATTAATAATCTTTTGATTTGTTTTTGTAAACACAAAAATGCCAAAAAACATCTTGTTTAAGTTTCTCAAATGTGAAGAATGAATGCTTTTATTTGACCTAAATGACAGAAAACCGAATGTATTTGTCTTATTTAATATCAGGGGAAAACTAATATTTCTATTAAATAAGTCACATTGGGCTGTGGAAACTAATAAGAAGGCATTTGTCAGTATTTTCTAATATTTTGAAGAGAAAAAAAGGTTAGAAAATTAATCAATAGGAAAAATAGGAAAAAGACTAAAAGTGTTAAAACGTCGTGGATGATCTGACGTAACCTATATTGGATGCAGTACATAATTAGTGACGGTAATTTAGGAAAAGGATGTGGAATAATTGGATATATATGTCTATGGTTTAAAACAGTATTTCCCGTCCGACTCTCTAAAAACGTTTAGGGACGGATGTAGGGAGGCAGAGATTCTCCCTGGATTAGTGCGTAGTTGAAGGCCGGCTCGAGGAGGAGCAGCAGATGAGCGGGCTCTGACAGAGGCAGGAAACAGAAAGGTTCAGAGAGTTCATGAAGAAATGGAGAGCTTTGTACGGACACAAGGCTCGGCTGTCACCACACAGGGGCCTATCTCCTCACTACGATCTGCAGTGGGCCACATACAACACGCTCAGGCACAAATAAGCCATTATGTGTCATTCTCACTGTAGAGTCTTAAAAAATACTTAGTGTAACTGAGAGTAGGCAGGTTCTGCTGAACACCACAGCACTGAGGGATACAAAGGAGTTCGGGGAAGAAGATGGCTGACATTGGATCAGATATTAGTACATGAATATTAATGATTCATTTGCATTTAGAGGGTAAAATACAAGAGGTACAAAGAGTTTGGTTTACTGACATAGCTTTCATGTTAAGGAAATGCAAGCTGATCAATGGGCTTATAAACAAGTAAACCGAGTAGTTCCCATCTGTGTTCTTTTTGATGTCCTTATTTCCTTTTTCATTTGAGATAAATATCCGATTCTAGCCAAAAACAAAGAGTACCAATACTACAAAAGCTTTCCTGGTTCATTTAAAGACTAGAAGCTGATAAGTAGTAAATGGTAAACAGCTTTAATGCAATGCCATTTTTATATAGATTGACTAATGGAGTATGTGATTTATTGTTTCAGTTCCATTGAGAGCTGAAGTTCACAAGTTATTAAAGACATTTGCTCAACTTTTGCTGGTTCAAGCTTTCTTGTATGAGATCAGAAAACATATAATATACATTTAGACAATTTTCCATCAGTTACTCTTTGTGTTTACCAATCCACATGTAGTCATGCTACAACTCAGAGAAAAGGAGAAAACAAATGTCACGATGCCTCTCATGGTGGTTGTGCAGCTCTGTGAGGACTTTAAGAAAAGTAAATGTTCGGAAGTGTAGACCTACTTTGAGATCCTGTGCTTTAAAGACAACCTGCAGAATTACGGTTTACTTTCTATGAAATGGGATTCATAAAAAGAACAAATGTAGCAATCTACCAGGAGACATATTCGAGGTATCATATCACTTATATTGTAAGCAAAAAGTTACACATTGCGGTGTATGTGATTTGTTCTTTTTTGTGATTTAAAATATTTCTGGACTTTAAGTCTTTTTGACCAAGGTTATGCATTTAAAGTGCGTCCAAAACTACGTGTCTCTGTTCATACAACATCTCCTTCATGTCTGTGCGTTCATGTTGCTGTTGTTCTCCTTTTTTCCTGCTGAACAGTTATTTGTAGAGTTTATCCTAATAGAAATTGAGGACTTGTAAGAACAGAGGGTGTCATTAAAATGGTAAAGCCATGCAAGGCACATTTGAAAGTAAATACAATGAACTTGTCTACAATAACTTGTCCCAGGCTAATCCCTTTCATTATAAACATTTGAGTAGAAAAACATTTGTGTTACGTTTTTTGAGAATAATAACTACCAGGATTACTGATTCGAAACAAAGCTCCAAAGGAAATCAAGACTTTGGATATCCAATCCAGGCTTTGTGCTTATTTTCTCTCCCTCTCTTCCTCCTCTGCTGAAGGCAGATTCAACCAGTCCAACTGGTTTCCAGTGTGCCCTAAGGCCAGACGAGGGGGGGAGGGGGAGGAGGAGGAGAGCCTATAAAAGTGTTCTACTGTATTCTCCTTCCTGAACAACCACTCATTCACTTCAATGGACAGAATAGATAGCCTTCTGGGAACTTCATAAAACATTACTTTAGGTAACCAGCTATCATTGTGCACCCTCCACACCCCTACATGAAAAACAATCAGATCAAAGTGTGATCCTGGGCTCCCCCTCTTCAATGAGGGACTGACTGACAGCCTGGAGAAAGGGTCAGCTTGAGTTAGGCCCGCATAATAAATGAGCCGTGAACCAAGTAACAAAGACAATATCAGGAGACTTTATTTTGCTTACACACAAATACACTCTCTCTTCCCTGGAAAGTCAGCTGCTGAAAACAATTCCATGCCATGGAAACAACCAGTTTAAACACTGAGGCTATCGTGGTGGAAAAACACAGGGAGAGACGCAGTGTTCTTCCTTTAGATGTACAATTGTTTTATGACTTGAAAGAGATTTCCTGGTAATCAATAAAGCTACTATAAAAAAAAACCTTTGATCTTGATTTTAAATAAATCATCAGTTTGATCAATCGTGTTTCTCTGAATGCTGGTTATAGACAGAACACGTATGATCTTTAATCCTTCTCCATTAATCTGTTGATTCTTTTCTCAATTACTTTGTTCATCACAATTTCATTAAGTACAACATGAGTTATTTAATGACCCTGTTTTGTTGGACCAGTAGTCCATCAAGTCAGAACTGTTTTTTAAATGATACGAAGCAGAGAAAAGCAGAAGAACTTTTCCTATATTTCGGGACTTTTCAGCAATTGTTGCTTGAAAATGACTTAACTATTTAATGAATAATCACATTTGCCACAGATTATTTTTCTGTTTATCAAAGGGTGTATAAATGATGGTTTCATCTTAACTTTAAGGTTCCTCATACCCAGTTATGGCCTTTTTTTTTTATACCATATTTACGTGTCTCTAAGAGGCTCAGGCGGGACCTCCTCTGAGCCTCTGTGCTCCTGGGGGACGGGTCCCTCTGGACACACTTAGAGTTATTATTACAGACAATCAGTGTTAATGGGAGGCGTGGATCTCTCAGGTGAGAGGCTCATTCAATCGACAGCCTCCCCAGCGTAAGCACACCTGCTAATGAGTGAATCACTGCGCAAACACACGCTGCTGCCAGGGGAGGCACCTGCCGCACCCCCCGCCCGGGACCTGCTTGGCAGGCCTGATGTGACTTTAATAGCAGCTATGACACATAGACCTAAATATTTATGAAAAACCAAACATAGAAATGAAAGCTGATTTGCATTATCAGCTTGATATCTTGCAGGGACAATATGCAGACAAATCAGGCTGGGATTAAGATTTGCCTCTGTGTAAAGTCTTGATTCTTAACCTTTTAACTAGAGGCTGCAACTCATCTATCATTTCTATTATTAAATAATGTAATTATTTGTACTGTTTACTGTTTAAAAATTAAGCGAAAAATGCATATCACAATTTCCAAGAGCACATGAATACATATTTAAATGTCTAATGAATAGTCCAAAAACCAACACATGTAATATTTTAATATCAGTGATGAAAGCTTTGGCATTTTTTGATAATACATAAATAATTTGTTCTTGTTGTTAATTATCAAAATTGTTTCCAAATACTGCCTCTGATACTGATGATAAGATGTAATAATGTGATATCACAACCTGTGCAAGGCCATCCAGATGACATTAGACTAACAAGGTTTTTAGTGTAAAATGTGACAGACAAACTAGTACAGAAGTCAGAGTGGGTAGATCCCAAGGAGGTCAAGTGAAACTTACTGAAGGAAACTCAAAATCCTTCCGGTTGACTTGGTGCATGACATACTCGATTCGGGACTGGTTTGCAGGACAGGCTAACTTGCATGGCGGTGTGAGCGTGATCATGGCAGCAATGATCGTCTGAATGGAGAGAAAAAGAACCAAACTTAATACAATGATTTATTATGACTCAGAGTACATTGTGAACTCCAGGAATTAACTTTTTTGTCTCAGCGCTCAGTCTTGTTTCATACTTTTTAAACATATTCGTACATATCATTTCAAAGGAATCAAAAGATCAATGACTTACCTCTATAGCTTCTTTAATGTTGTTTTTAATATCATGGATTTTCTGTTTTTTCTCCCTGTGAAGAACGAAGACATTTGTTTTATTTATACAAAAGCATAAATTGAAAGAATGTTTCAACTTTATTCAACGTGATTCAATGTTAACAGTCAACACAGTTCATGACTTTGATCAATTCTAATTAAACATATTATTATTATCAATGGTTACTAGGTATATATTATTTCAGTCACTAATATGGATCATGCATCTGTTCAGGAAAAATCATATTTTTATCTGATACCAGACGAGAACAGCATTTATGAAACAGAGTGGGGGTGTGGAGGACAACATGGACTTTAAGGGGACATTTGAGGTGTTTTGAAGTCTAATATTAACTACAATCTACTATGAGCACAAAGTATGATCCAAAGCTTTAGCAAATAATATGTTGTTGTCCATTTATTGTTGTATATTTTAAACCCTTCTTTTATATTGTTCCTTTTTTACTGTAAATTATTATTGGAGGATAATTACAGAGTTGGACATCTCCGTATTAATAACCAAGTACCATAAAATAAAACATTTAACATATATTTCTGTAATTACTAGTGGTGCTTTAATTACAGAAGACATTTAAAACTTTAAAATATCAGAATTATCAATAATCATGATATAATAATCTAAATGCAACAGAAAATCTGTCATTCGACAGAGCTTAAAAGTCCAGTTTCACAGAAAGCAACTCCTTTATCTAATATATATGACTTTGCTCTGGTCGTTATAATCAGAATCAGATACAAAAATAACCCACGGTGGAAAACCTGTGATGGAAGGAATTCACTTATCAATCTGATAATTGTGCTGTATTGTTTTGGGATAAACTCTTTAAAAAGGAACCTTTTCAGACAAAGGTTTTGTTGGTTTATCGAAATAGAAAATATTTTGATAATAATTGCCGCTTCTCCAATGTGAATTTCTTTGCCCTTTCTACGTGAATATTTTTGCTGGTCAGAGAAAACAAGCAACAACTGCGGATGTCACCTTGTGATCCAGGAAACTATGAAGGGCCTCTTCCATATTTGATTAACCAAGTGATTAATAAGTAAATACAATAAACAGTAGATTCACCAATAATTAAATGAATTGTTACCGGAAACCCTATTATATATATTTTTTTGTATTTTTCTCACAATAAATAGAGATGCACAGATAAATTAAAACTTGGTGTTCTGGTTCTTAGCATATACAATGATGTACTTATAAAATGTTATATATTAAACGTATAATGACTGTATGTTTGTTGGTTTGTTACCAACATTATGGGAAAACTACTGGTCCGATTTGAATGAAACTTGGCAGAAGTTGTAGTGTGAGAGAACTGATACCTTTTTACAGCCGATCAAAACGTCTGTGCTCTCCTTGTGCCATTTCAGTTTGTTCTGGCTACACTGTAAAACGTTCTTAAGTCAGGGGAACCAGTGATACCTCCTTAAAATGTTTGATTTTGGAAGAAAATGGCTAAGAACTGATTAGAATCTGATTATTCCCTCAAGGAGAAGTTTGAACTTTGGAAGAGTGGATTCATGGAGCTTCCCTTGGCTCCTTGTTGCTTTTCTCAGACTGACGGAGAGAGAGTAAGACTACATTCCTCACACTGCCGTTCTCACCCTCATCCCTCCCATTTATCTCCCCCTCCTCATCTTCCTCATCCTCCCAGCACCTTGCACTGGGAGGGGAAACCTGGCCAGGGGAACTCCTCCGGCCCAAAGAGAGAAACAAAACCCCCGGAGCTACTGTAAACCGGGGGGGGGGGGTCATTATAGGAGAGCGTCTGTCAGGAGCATGTGTTCGCCATGACCCAAAAATAATCACATGATGATGCTCATACCCAAAAAAAACCTTTCTAGGAAAGCGATTATTAAGATTAGAAAAATGTGACAATTGTTTCCATTGCATCAACTAGGGATTGAGTTTTAGGAAATTCACAAAACAGGGCGGCTTTAAAAAGCCCAGGGTAATGTTTCCATGAATGAAGGATAAATATATAAAAAACCTCTGGTGCTACTAGTGAGCTCCACAAAAAAAAAGGCTAAAGTTGGCAACTTTTCTTATAGTAGAAATCTATATCAATGTCCCGTTAAACAATAAGAGGAAATGTACTTTTATTCTCTCTGGCTGAGGATAAAAGTTGCTCGTTTATATCGCAGGAAAGTATTTATATTTTTCTTTGTTGTACTGACAACTGATAGCACTTTTAAAAGTTTCATATAAAATACTTTAAAATGTCTATATGTTTGACAATCAGTACAGAACATGAAAATGTTCAACAAAGGTGATACTTATTATTATTATTTTCTCAAATAGTCATTTAGTCTACATAATATTGGAAATTCATTAAAAAAAAAAACCCATCATAATTTCATCATAAATATCTTGGGCTTTTTTTACCGACAATTTTATTTACTGAGATTTCAGCTAAATAGATACAATAGAAAGCAACTGAGAACATTGAGTCCTCACATTTGAGAAGCTGCAACCAGAGAATATTTCCTGATACACACTCTTGATGAATACCTAAAGATATTCATAAATTATCAAAAATACTGGCAATTAATAGAAAATAATACATTATTTTCCAGTAATTGCTTTTAAAAGTCATGTTGTTGTTATGCTTTGTCCAGATGTCGATTACAATTAATTACAATTAACAAAGAGATAATTTTCCACCTTGTTGGGAACCAAGCTCTAAACTAACTTTGCATGCAGGTCCATTTCAGTACCTATCAACCTTCCTATCACTTGTCAATGCAAAATACCCAAAACATCATCACTTTATCAAGGTATTTGGGCAACAAGTATGTCCGAGTCACCCAATCACCCCCAATAATTAACTAGTTTAACATTGAAATATATGTGTCACAAAGAAAACATGGGGGGAGACCACTTACTCTGCATTGAAGCCATTGACGTGCAATATTCGCATCTGTTTGACTATCGTGCTTTTCCCGGATTCACCGGCCCCTGAAAGCAGAAAGAAAGGAAAATAAGTCAGAGATGTTTATCAAGAGGTGAACAAACTCCTTCAAAGGGCCCAAACTAAAACATCAATAATGGAGATCCATCTGAAACTAGACAATGATTGTTTGAAGCGTATCACCAGATTTGTGAAAGTTTATGCTGCAGATACTCTTCAGATAAAGGTTGAACATGGTAAGCTTATGAAATACAAGACATTGGTGAATATTAAACAACTAGTTCCCAACTTTTTTAGAAGTGCGTGGATGTCACATTTCTCAAATTGGGATTTAAAACAAAAACCTTAAAGTGGAAATAGGCATATTTTTTTGCTTTATCTTATTACAGGGTAAATGTTTTTTGCACAATGTCATATCTATACGTTAATGAGTCCTTCTTTGTCTAGTTTGGTTGCTTATAAGCCTCGCTCTCACTATGTAATTCTGTTTGCAGTTTGGTGGCATCATCTAACATCGGTGGCATAAAGCTTAGTGGTTGTGTCTCGTTGCAGTGAGGGAGAGTTGTCTACTGCCACTTTAAGAACATTTTGGTGACAGTAAGTCTACACTTTCACTTAGACATTAGAGGTTAATTGAACAATGTTGTATCGGTACTCTTATGGAGGTAAAGGATCTTCGTCACCTCTGCATTCAGGACTAATCAGAGATACATTAGCTCTATTTTAAATTTGTTTTATTGAGGAGAAGTAAGATCTCATCAAGCCCTAATAAATCATTTTAAGAATAGAGAAGATGTAATTTTCTAAAATGATGGCATTATAAAATACGAACATGCATGTTCACAATGAAAAACACATTGTCCTAACAAACTTAAATTGAAAGAAGCCAGGCCATAACATCTCCTGGAAACAAGGAACTAGGCTGCAGGCCTGCCATTTAGAGCCCGAGAGCAAGTGTACAAATCAAGGATCCATTTCAGATTAGAAAGAGCAGGACAGTGTTTAAAGGGAAGCTAGTAATCCTAATAGTAATCCTAATTTGCTCTCCGTACTGAAAGAGGCTTGGCAGGATACTAGCCCTGGCCTTGAGGTTCAGACTGTATCATGATGACATGGAGGCCTGGATGATAAAGCCAGAAATAGCATCATCAAATAAAAAATAGTCCACTTTTTTAACGACTGATTAGAATATCCATTTTCAGAATAGCTAGTGAGGAGAGGATTATGCGAAAAGGTGAGCATGGAGTGTGACAAACAGCACCAAAAATGGAGCCTAAGTATAGACCTTAATGACTCAAGGTGAATATACACTAACACACATTTTGCAATGTGCTGTCCGGTATATCTAAAAAAAATTATTAGTGTGACCTCCATGCTGCCTTTACACAAATACTGTCTGTCTGTCCACGATCTCTCACATGTTCTATAATGATTCTCCATGAGAAGCCATGAATGCACCAGACAGGCCTGCTTTTCAACTGTCCTGTGTCAAGACAATGTAAAAACCTGGTGTAGAGACATCATGTCATTGCATCATATAGTGTCATAGCCTGTGAAACATGTTTTTCTATTTACATGGTTACATCAGTGGTTACATTTGTATTTAGACAGGTGTTTTCTTCTGTGTGGGTGCAACAATTGGGTACAAAATGCGACAAATATTGAACAGACACATATGCAATAATGATGACATTTTAGAAAACCTACCTAATAGTAGTAGCCGGTGAGTGGCTCGGTATATCTGTTTGTCTTTTTGGAGCTGCTTCTCTATCTTTTTGTTGGCTTCCCTCTGTGCCTTCTCCTCATTTCGTTGGTCTTCAGTCTTACTATTGCCAAGACAGCCCATCTTCCCAAAAAAAACCAGTGATAGGTTCAGGGGGAGGCAGGGTGGGTGTTTTGGTAGGTAGGTGTAGGAAGGGAGGAAGGAGGGAGGGTGTTGATCAGGAGAAAATCAATCAATCCTAAATTCCTAGACTGGCCCAACAGAGAAACACCTGGCTCAAAATGGGTGACATTTATGTTGCCAGATGAAAGAAGATGTTAGGTAGTAGGCGATGAGCCCCACCAGGCTTTGACACAATATGTATCCGATGGATGTGGCTATTTACTGGCAGGAGATCACTACATATAAAAAGCAGCAGAGCAACGATGCCGCCCTCTCAGTCGCTTGATTCCTCTGTTTTTCACTGTAAATCAGCAATGAAGTCATCAACATTGATATGAGAGAGTGGATTTGAATTTTCCAGCCCTGTAATGTACATGCATGAACGTCGGTGATCCGGTTTCCTTATAGCTGTTTTCAACGTATATGTTTAGATTTCTTAGCAAATGTCTCCTCTGGAGCCCATCTTCGGCAGATATCTCGCACTGCCATTCAATCCTTTTCCACACACAACACTATTTATCTCTATGATTTAAAATGAGTATTTTTGCAAATGTTGTTTGCAATCCAACTAACCAAAGCACATCAGAGGGCGGGTAACGTTACGGAGAACAATCGACTGTATACAAAGCGAGGTCAAAGCACTCTGGCAGGAACGGGTGGGTGGGATTGCCGATAGATAAGAGGTTACAAGTTAGGAGTTCTTTGTCCACGTTTTTATAAGTCTCATTGTGGCGTTTCTTTGTAAGACGAGAGGGCCGCAAGGTGCATCAGCTGGCCGGAGAGCGCCAATTTCATTTGCAGAACCTGTCCTGACCTCGTGGAGCCCAAAGTACAAGCTGCGTGTAATTGGTATTAGACGGCATGCCTAAGTTTCTATGTGTTTGGACTCTGAACTTCGCCGGAATGGACCCGGTTGCCCGTCGTTATTGCCTCCGAAAAGGATGGTCTAGTGGACTATAGCCCATATAGTTCCTGTAGGTGCCGGTTCTTGGTAGCGGAACGAAAGGCTACACGTCCGTCTTTATGTTTAATTGCACTGTCTCTCTTTTTCCTGCTCTATCCCCCGGAGAAAAGAAGACCAGAACAGTTTGGGGCCTTTTTTTTCGATTTCGTGGTCGTAGACTACCTGCCCCTTCTCCTTTAGTAAAGCCCGATTTTTGTCTATAATAATATTTGTTTGGGAGGTGAGGTTTATTTTTTGCAAAAGGCTGCTCAAACTATCTCTATTCTTCGGAACTACGGACTACTAAGTGTACGGCAGTAAATTTCCTTTATCAAATAAAANCCTCGTCTCGTCTCTCTTCTCCACTCCTCGTCCCTCCTCTCCTCATCTCTCCTCTCCTCGTCTCGTCTCTCCACTCCTCTCCTCGTCTCGTCTCTCCTCGTCTCGTCTCTCCACTCCTCGTCTCTCCTCGTCTCGTCTCTCTTCTCCACTCCTCGTCCCTCCTCTCCTCGTCTCTCCTCGTCTCGTCTCTCCTCGTCTCTCCTCGTCTCTCCTCTCCTCGTCTCTCCTCTCCTCGTCCCTCGTCTCTCCTCGTTTCTCCTCGTCTCTCCACTCCTCTCCTCGTCTCTCCTCGTCTTTCCACTCCTCTCCTCGTCTCTCCACTCCTCTCCTCGTCTCTCCTCGTCTCTCCACTCCTCTCCTCGTCTCTCCTCGTCTCTCCACTCCTCTCCTCGTCTCTCCTCGTCTCTCCTCGTCTCTCCTCTCCTCTCCTTGTCTCTCCTCGTCTCTCCTCGTCTCTCCACTCCTCTCCTCGTCTCTCCTCTCCTCGTCTCTCCTCTCCTCGTTTCTCCTCGTCTCTCCACCGTCTCTCCACTCCTCTCCTCGTCTCTCCTCGTCTCTCCACTCCTCTCCACTCCTCTCTCCTCATCTCTCCTCATCTCTCCACTCCTCTCATCGTCTCTCCTCGTCTCTCCACTCCTCGTCTCTCCTCTCCTCGTCTCTCCTCGTCTCTCCTCGTCTCTCCACTCCTCTCCTCGTCTCTCCACTCCTCTCCTCGTCTCTCCTCGTCTCTCCTCGTCTCTCCACTCCTCTCCTCGTCTCTCCTCGTCTCTCCTCGTCTCCTCGTCTCTCCACTCCTCTCCTCGTCTCTCCTCGTCTCTCCACTCCTCTCCTCGTCTCTCCTCGTCTCTCCACTCCTCTCCTCGTCTCTCCACTCCTTCTCCTCGTCTCTCCACTCCTCTCCACTCCTCTCTCCTCATCTCTCCTCATCTCTCCACTCCTCTCATCGTCTCTCCTCGTCTCTCCACTCCTCGTCTCTCCTCTCCTCGTCTCTCCTCGTCTCTCCACTCCTCTCCTCGTCTCTCCTCGTCTCTCCACTCCTCTCCTCGTCTCTCCTCGTCTCTCCCTCCTCTCCTCGTCTCTCCTCTCCTCGTTTCTCCTCGTCTCTCCACTCCTCTCCTCGTCTCTCCTCTCCACTCCTCTCCACTCCTCGTCTCTCCTCTCCTCGTCTCTCCTCGTCTCTCCTCGTCTCTCCACTCCTCTCCTCGTCTCTCCACTCCTCTCCTCGTCTCTCCTCGTCTCTCCTCGTCTCCTCGTCTCTCCACTCCTCTCCTCGTCTCTCCTCGTCTCTCCACTCCTCTCCTCGTCTCTCCACTCCTCTCCTCGTCTGTCCACTCCTCTCGTCGTCTCTCCTCGTCTCTCCACTCCTCTCCTCGTCTCTCCACTCCTCTCCTCGTCTCTCCTCTCCTCTCCTCGTCTCTCCTCGTCTCTCCTCTCCTCTCCTCTCCTCGTCTCTCCTCGTCTCTCCTCTCCACTTCTCTCCTCATCTCGTCTCTCCACTCCTCTCCACTCCTCTCCTCGTCTCTCCTCGTCTCTCCTCGTCTCTCCTCTCCTCTCCTCGTCTCTCCTCGTCTCTCCTCTCCACTCCTCTCCTCTCCTCGTTTTTCCTCGTCTCTCCACTCCTCTCCTCGTCTCTCCTCTCCTCGTCTCTCCACTCCTCTCCTCGTCTCTCCTCTCCACTTCTCTCCTCGTCTCGTCTCTCCTCGTCTCTCCTCGTCTCTCCTCGTCTCCCCTCGTCT